TCTGTATGGTCCGGATCCCTATGATCCCAGTCTGTGAAATCCCAGTCCACATGATCCCAGTCTGTATGGTCCTGATCCATATGATGCCAGTTTGTATGATCCCAGTCTGTATGGTCCTGATCCATATGATCCCAGTCTGTGCAGTCCCAGTCTGTGGGATCACAGTCCATATGATAACAGTCTGTATGGTCCTGCATGGCACACATTCCAAGGGTCTGGAATTCCAGTTCCCAGGCAGGAAAAGATGTTCCTGCCCTTGAATGCAAAGCTCTTAAGAAGGGGCTGAAAGCCAAGTGGAGCAAGATCCTACAGTGACATTTCACTGCCAGCCTTCAGAACTTCACCCATGGCTGTTGTAGCTCCTGCACTGGGAATTAAATCAGGGCAGGGTCTTTGGTGGCAGCTGCCCTGGCTCAAGAGAGGCACTGAGAGAGAAACAGGGCAGGCAAAGAGAGGCAGGAGAGAAAGGAGGACACAAACACAATCAGCTGAGAAGGTGGCACTCTGCAAACAGAACTGCAGGCGACTGAAAATGAACGGGACAGAAATCAGGAACCATGGAAGTTTTATTTACTATCACATACACCCACCCACCCAGCTCCACACAATTCCCATCCCACCACTCCAAATTGGGATCCCACTTCTCCCACTCTCCTCCCAACCCCATCTCACCCTGGCAACTGTGGAATGGAGTGAGTTTGGCATGGGGTTGAGTTTTTTAGTGTGGGAACAAGGCATTTTGAAGTGGGATTGAGCCTGTATGAATTAAAATTCAGTTGTTTGGCATGGGATTCAGTTGTTTTGAGGTGACCCTCTTGGCTTTTGGAGTGCAAACAGATGGAGAACACTGTGCAAAATCTCCCCTCACAGACCACACAAATCCTCCAGAATATTGTCTCCAAACCATCAGTTCCTGTCGACGGAAGGAGACCCGGACATCAATTTGATCATCGCAGGACTAATTTTATTGATCAGTACAGCAGGTTAAATACAGTTCATAATGAACTTCATACATATTGCAAAAATTGAGCTCAGGATTGGTTAGTTACATATCAGCAATTACGCCTACTTCTGCATTCTTATGGTTATACTTTTGATACTTTCTACATATTCTCAGGAAGAATCTCTCTTCCCTATCCTCATGTTGCGGCAAGGGCATTCTGTCCTTGCCTGTCATTGGTCACTGACTGCTGACTTCTCTTTTCAGCCTACTGACTGCTGACTTCCCTCTTCCAGTTTAACCAGTGGCATTATGTCAGTATGGCCTTTCTCTGCTAACCAACTATTAATAAAATCCTCCACAAGTTCCCCTTTAAAAACTTCTGAAATTGTGGAACTTTAGACATCTTTGATCAATTTATTTCATTTAACCCTGTTTTGGCTGTTTTTAAGGGATGAAGATGAAGCAGAAGAAAATAAAGGTCAAACCAAAACGAGAAGCAGCCCTGTGTGTTCACAACATGGATCACAGAGAATGTGAGTGACCAGGGCTGTGCCCAAAGTGCCTCCTCCAGTGGGGGATGGAGCTGGAGCAGCACATGAAGCTCTTCCGCACTCGGGGCACTCACAGGGCCTCCCTTAGTGGCGCCTCCGTTGGTGCCGGGTCAAGGTAGAGTTCCTGGAGAAGCTCTTCCCACACTGGGGACACTCGTAGGGCCTCTCCCCAGTGTGGATGCGCCGGTGCCTGACGAGCGTGCAGTTGCGCTGGAATCCCTTCCCACAGTCGAGGCAGAGGAAGGGCCTCACCTCTGTGTGAATCCAATAGTGCTGGAGGAGATGGGAGCTGGTCAGAAACCTCTTCCTGCATTTATCACACTCGTAGAGCCCCTCCCCAGTGTGGATGCGCCGGTGCTTGACAAGGGTAGAGCTGTGCTTGAATCCCTTCCCACACTCAGGGCATTGGAAGGGCCTTTCCTCTGTGTGAACCTGAAAGTGCTGGAGGAGATGGGACCTGATCTTAAACCCCTTCCCACACTTGGAACACTCGTAGGGCCTCTCCCCAGTGTGAATCCTCTGGTGGCTGATCAGGCTGGAGTTCCACCTGAAGCTCTGCCCACACTCCCCACACTCGTAGGGCCGTTCACCAGTGTGGGTCCACTGGTGCTTGATGAGCTTGGACTTCCACCTGAAGCTCTTCCCACACTCCACGCACGTGTGGGGCTTCTCCCCATCATGAACCTGCTCATGGAGCACCAGCTCCGAGCTCTGGCTCAATCCCTGGCCACCTTCCTGGCCCAGGCTGGCTCTTTCCCCCTCAGATCCCCGCCAGCTGCGTTTGCAGCCCCTCCTCGTGCGGCATCTCCAGGGCTTTTCCTCCCCGTTGGCTTCCTGTGCCGTGGAGCCGCTCAAAACGGCCTCTGCCACCAGGTTCTGCTGCGGGCATTTGTCCTCCCTGCTTTCCATGCTCAGCTCCTGCCCTGGGGGAGGAAGGACAAGGACAGGATGGGATTTCCCTCTGTGCCACAGGCAAGGGCAAGGAGATCCCCCCAGGGCTGTGCTGCAGCCAGGGCCATGCTGGGCTGGGAGATGGAGCAGCACAGAGGGGAAAGGGGCACTGACTTCCTCCTCACCTGCCTCAGTGTCCCGGGGCATCTTCCTCTTCCTCACAGCCTCGCTGAGGTTGGTAATGGGAAATCCTGGTTTGGGGAAAACAAGGGATGAGCACGTTTGCAGGAGCGTCGTGGGGGAGGACAGTTGGGACGGACGGAGACGAGCGATCTCTGAAGCCAGGTTGTGGAACTTGCGGTTTATTGCAAAGGGCCTGGGTGCAGGGCCCTGCTTGGAGCTGCCAGCCACAGCTTGGAGCAGGCCTGAGAGAAGAGCTGGTTACAGTGGATGAGAGGGTAAGAGAGTAAGAGAGTAAGGTTCCCTTTACAATGCAATAAATCTTTTTCTGTGTTGAATATTCTATTTCTCACTAACCAATCTAGTACAAGATACAAATCCTAGAGCATTTACATACAGCCTGTAAGAATCATTACATCACCACACTATAAACTCCACTTTGGACCCCTTCTGCTAAACTAGTTGGGTCTGCTCTGACCGGAAGGAGACCTGGACATCAATTTGATCATCGCAGGACTAATTTAATTGATCGGTACAGCAGGTTAAATACAGTTCATAATGAACTTCATACATATTGCAAAAATTGAGCTCAGGATTGGTTAGTTACATATCAGCAATTACGCCTACTTCTGCATTCTTATGGTTATACTTTTGATACTTTCTACATATTCTCAGGAAGAATCTCTCTTCCCTATCCTCATGTTGCGGCAAGGGCATTCTGTCCTTGCCTGTCATTGGTCACTGACTGCTGACTTCTCTTTTCAGCCTACTGACTGCTGACTTCCCTCTTCCAGTTTAACCAGTGGCATTATGTCAGTATGGCCTTTCTCTGCTAACCAACTATTAATAAAACTCTCCACACTGACCCTTTGATCGGTCTGCAAGCAGAGGGAATTCTTTCATCAAAAGGGAATTACCTTCAGTCAGGACACCATTGTTTTCCAGTTGCTCAGTAACTAATGTATCCCAAAGCTTGCTTTCATTACAATCTTCCCTATAGTTTCTATATTCCCAAATTCTTTTGCCAGACTATCATATTAATGAGGCTTTCCTGTTTCATCTTCCCCCAACACACATTGAGTTTCAAGGTCCTTCTGCCCGTGTCCAGCTCTACAAGTCACCAGACACCTAGGCTCCAGAAAGCCCTCCCAAACACCAAGATTCAGCCCTGAAAAAGCCTCACAGGAGTTGCCTGTCCCTGGTCCCTCCCCTCGGGTGTTTGGGGGTTCCCCCCTGTCCCATCTGCTGCGGTCACACTTGGATTAGGCGTCCCCCTTCTCCTCGGTGCCCGTCCTGCCCAGGCTGCTGGCAGTCCCAGCAATATCAAAAGCTCCCCCCTCTTCGCTCTCCCCATTTCGGGATGCTGAGGCTCTTTGGGCTCCCCGGCTCCCTTCTCCCCTCATTCTCTGCTCTGGGCTGCAGCGGCTCCAAGGAGTCCCCCCTGCCCCTCTCCAGGCTCTTGAGGCTCCCGCCAATGGCGGCGCTCCCCCCTCTCTGGGCTCCCCACTTTGGGCTCCTGGGGGACACAGGTCTCTGCTCCTCCAGGCTGCCTCTGCCGGCAGCCGCCACCGGCACCCCCCGAGGGGCCTTTTCCGCTCAGCCTTGGACTGCTTCATTCTCCAAATATCCCCGCAAAAACCCAACCCAGGACCCCCGGGGATATCCGGGCCGGGCTCCCCTTTCCGGCTCACCTACGCGATGGGGGGGGGGGGGGGGGGGGGGGGGGCGATGATCCCGCAGGTGGGGGCTGCGAATTCAGGTAGGGCTGGAGCGAATGCTTCTGTCAGCTCAGCCTTGATCCGCCTTTGTCCCCCCTCTTCCTCTTCCTCCCCCGTTCCTCCTCTTCCTTCCCCCCCATCCGCTACTCCGTGTTGCCTCCGCCTCCTTCTCCTCTTCCATCCCTCCCCTTCCATCCCTTCTCCTCGTCCTCCTCCTCCCTAACCCCCTCCTTCTCCTCCTTCCATCGCTGCTCTCTCCCTGCCTTCATCCCTCCTCTTCCATCTCCCCTCCCCCTTCTCCTCCGCCCTAACCGGCTGGAAGCCTGAGGGGAAAGGGGGCAGGGAAAGGGCAAAACCGCGAGGGGGAAGGGGGCAGGGAAAGAGCGGAACCGTGAGGTGAAAGGGGCGGGCTCAGGCCAAGGGCGGCAACTGCGAGGGGACACTCTGGGAGCAGCACTCTGCAAACTGAACTGCAACGGACTGAACATGAATGGGAGATAAATCAGTAAGTCTGAGAGTTTTATTGGCTATTGAATATCCCACACACCCAGCCCCTCACAATCCCCATCTCACCCCTCCCAAATGGGAATCCACTTCTCCCAATCTCCTCGCAAACCCATCTCAGCCTAGTGGCTGTGGAATCGAGTGAGTTTGGTGTGGGACTGAGTTTTTATGAGGTGGGTGCGAGCACTTTTGGGGTAAGACTGAGCTGTTTTCAGTGGGATGTGAGTGGTTTTGAGGTGACAGAGGTATCAATACTGGCTTTTGGATTGCAAAGACATTGAGTATAGAAAGAAATTAAGGACAAACCAAAATTAGAAGCTGCCAGGTGTGTTCCCAACATGGATCACAGGGAATGTGAGTGACCAGGGCTGTGCCCAAAGTGCCTCCTCCAGTGGGGGATGGAGCTGGAGCAGGGCACGAAGCTCTTCCACACTCGGGGCACTCACAGGGCTTCCCTTAGTGGCGCCTCCGTTGGTGTCGGGTCAAGGTAGAGTTCCTGGAGAAGCTCTTCCCACACTGGGGACACTCGTAGGGCCTCTCCCCAGTGTGGATGCGCCGGTGCCTGACGAGCGTGCAGTTGCGCTGGAATCCCTTCCCACACTCAGGGCAGCGGAAGGGCCTCTCCTCTGTGTGCTTGCGCTGGTGCAGGAGGAGATTGGAGCTGGTCTGAAACCTCTTGCTGCATTTATCACACTCGTAGAGCCTCTCCCCAGTGTGGATGCGCCGGTGCTTGACAAGGGTAGAGCTGTGCTTGAATCCCTTCCCACACTCAGGGCATTGGAAGGGCCTCTCCTCTCTGTGAATGTGATAGTGCCGGAGGAGATGGGACTTGATCTTAAACCCCTTCCCACACTTGGAACACTCGTAGGGCCTCTCCCCAGTGTGGGTCCACTGGTGCTTGATGAGCTGGGACTTCCACCTGAAGCTCTTCCCACACTCCACGCACGTGTGGGGCTTCTCCCCATCATGAACCTGCTCACGGAGCACCAGCTCCGAGCTCTGGCTCCACCTCCAGCCGCCTTCCCGGCCCAGGCTGGCTCTTTCCCCCTCAGATCCCCGCCAGCTGCGTTTGCAGCCCCTCCTCGTGCGGCATCTCCGGGGCTTTTCCTCCCCGTTGGCTTCCTGCGCTGTGGAGCCGCTCAAAACGGCCTCTGCCACCAGGTTCTGCCGCGGGCATTTGTCCTCCCTGCTTTCCATGCTCAGCTCCTGCCCTGGGGGAGGAAGGACAAGGACAGGATGGGATTTGCCTCCGTGCCACAGGCAAGGGCAAGGAGACCCCCCCAGGGCTGTGCTGCAGCCAGGGCCACGCTGGGCTGGGAGATGGAGCGGCACAGAGGGGAAAGGGGCACTGACTTCCTCCTCACCTGCCTCAGTGTCCTGGGGCATCTTCCTCTTCCTTGTAGTCCGCCAGGGGTTGACAATGGGAAATCCTGGGTTGGGGAAAACAAGGGATGAGCACCTTTGTACAGTGTTGGAGGGTAGCAAGGTCGGGACGGACAGAGACGAGAGATCTCTGAAGCCAGGTTGTGGAACTTGCGGTTTATTGCAAAGGGCCTGGGTGCAGGGCCCTGCTTGGAGCTGCCAGCCACAGCTTAGAGCAGGCCCGAGAGAAGAGATGGGTACAGAGGATGAGAGAGCAAGAGAGTAAGAGAGTAAGGTTCCCGACAGAATACAATAAATCTTTTTCTGTGTTGAATATTCTATTTCTCACTAACCACTCTCGGGCAAGATACAAATCCTAGAGTATTTACATACAGCCTGCAGGATTCATTACGTCACCATACTGTGTTATATTTTAAACCCTAAAATGCACACTTTGGACCCTTCTGCTGAACCAGTAGGGTCTGCTCTGACCCTTGGACCTCTCTGCAAGCAGATGGAGTTGTTTCATCAAAAGGGGATTACCTTATATCGGGCCACACCACTGTTTTCCAATAGTTCAGTAAGTAAGGTATCTCAAACCTTGTTTTCATTTTATCTTGCTTTTACTTTAAATATTCTCAAAATCATTTGCCAGACAACCATATTTATAAGGCTTTCCTGTTTCTTCTTCCCCAACACACCTTTAGTTTCAAGGTCCCTCTGCTCGACTCCATGTCTACAAGCCACCAGCTACCTGGGCTCCAGAATATCTTCCAAAACCACAAAGATTCAGCCCTGAAAAAGCTTCCCAGGAGCTCCCTGTGCCTGGTCCCTCCCCTTTGGTGTTCAGCAGTTCCCCCCTGTCCCAGCTGCTGGGGTCACACTTGGACTGGGGCTACCCCTTCTCCTTGGTGCCTGCCCTGTCCAGGCTGCTGGCAGTCCCACCAATGCCAAAAGCTCCCCACTCTTGGCTCCCCCCATTTCGGGATGCCGGGGCTCTTTGGGCTCCCGGGCTCCCTTCTCCCCTCATTCTCTGCTCTGGGCTGCAGCGGCTCCAAGGAGTCCCCCCTGCCCCTCTCCAGGCTCTTGAGGTTCCCACCAATGATGGCGCTCAGCCCTCTCTGGGCTCCCCACTTTGGGCTCCTGGGGGACACAGGGCTCTGCTCCTCCAGGCTGCCTCTGCCGGCAGCCGCCACCGGCACTCCCGATGCCCCCCGAGGGGCCTTTTCCGCTCAGCCTTGGACTGATTCATTCTCCAAACATCCCCTGAAAAACCCAACTGGGAGCAACTGGGAGTGGCTGGGAACATGCCGAAGATAACTGGCCTACACTGGGAGATACTGGGAGTGATTGGAACAAAAGTGAGGGTGAAAGAGAGCAACTGGAACCATGTGGAGCACAACTGGTTCATACTGGCAGGGACTGGGAGCACACTGGGCTCATCTTGGGATCATACTGGGAGGGACTGGACTAATACTGGGAGTATATGAGAGCGACTGAAAATACACCCTGCACATCATCCCCCATACTGGGCCTGACTGGGAGCAACTGGGAACCTGCTGGGAGCAAATGGCATCATACTGGGACTGACTGGGTTGATCTAGGAAGCAACTGGAACCATGCTGGAGGCAGCTGCGACCATACTGGGAAAAACTGGAAACAACTGGGACCACACTGGGAGGGCTGGCATGTGACTGGGATTAAACTGGAGCCTACTGGGATCACATTGGGGTTGAAAGTGAGTGACTGGGATCACAGTTTGGGCTACTGGGAGCAACTGAGAGAAACTGGGATGATGCTGCAAGCAAACTGGAGGAACTGGGAAGGACTGGATGCATGCTGGAGGCAACTGGGATATACTGGGCATGACTGGGGGATCATACTGGGAGAACTGACACCTTACTGGGGCCACTGGCAGTGTCTGGAAATGACCACAGACATGTTGGGGGCAACTGGGATATACTGGGAGTGTCTGTAACCATACTGGGGGGACTGGAATTACACTGGGAACAGCTGGGACCATGCTGGGGAGAGCTGGGACCACATTGGGGGCGACTGGGAGTGAGTGGGACCATGCTGGGAGGGACTGGGATCATCTGGGAAGTGACTGGGATTTAAGCAGAGGCAACTGGTTTCAACTGGGACCATACTGGGAGTGTTTGTACCCATAGGGGAGTGATGGAAGCACACTGGGAACAGCTGGGCCCATGCTGGGAGCCACTGGGATCACACTGGGTGCACTGGCATCAGACTGGGAGTGACTAGGAGTGACTGGGAGCAACTGGGATTAGACTGCAAGTGACTGGAATTATACTGGAGTGGCTACACTCATACTGGGATTATACTGGGAGTGAATGGAACCTGACTGGGGCTTACTGGGAGCTACTGGGCCCATGTTGGGAGGAAAATGGGCATACACTGAGAGCAACTGGGATAGGCTGGAAGGTACTGGAACCATGCTGAAAGGACTGAGACTACAACTGTGGCAACTGGGATCATACTGGGGGCAACTGGGGCCACCCTTTGAGCAACAGATGGAAACTGGGATTATGCTAGAGGAAACTGGGAGTAACTGGGAAAGACTGGGATCATTCTGAGGTAACTAAAACATACTAGGAGTGTCTCTAACCATACTGGGGGGACTGGAACCACACTGGGAACAGCTGGGATCATGCTGGGAGCAACTGGGATGATGCTTGGGGAAACTGGGATCATAATGGGAGGAAATGGGAACATCTGGAATTATGCTGGGAACAACTGGGATCATACTGGGATCACAGTGAGAGCAGCTGAGTCCATACTGGGTTACACTGGGATCTCATTGAGAGCGACTGGAATCATACTGGGATTGACTGGGAGTGGCTGGTTTTGTGGATTTTGGGGGATTTGGATTTTGGGGGATTGTATTGGTATTTTGAGGGGGAGTTTTTCTGGGCGTATTTGGGGGCTTATTGAAATTGTTTGTGGCTTTTTTTGAATTTCGGGGGTTTTACTGGGATTTAGTTGGGATTTTTTTGGATTCTCAGAAATTCTGGGGGTTTTATTGGGATTTTTAGGAGATTTTGGGGCATTTTATTGGAATTGTCGTGGCATTTATTGGGATTCATAGCGGATTTGGGTTTTTTTTGGGATTTTTGGTGGGATTTGGGGGGTTTCGTGGGGTTTTCTGGGTGTTGCCAGGATTTCCTTGGATCTTGGGGGAGATTTTGTGGGACTTTTTAAGGGTTTGGGGATATTTTTGGGGGATTAGCAGAGTTTAATCAGGATTTTTGGCACTATTGGGATTTCACGGGATTTTGTAGGCATTTATTGGGATTCTAGAGTGTTCTAATGGAATTTTGAGAGATTTAATTGGGATTTAGTGGGTTTTATTGGGACTTTTGGAGGTTTTAAGGAGATTTTGGTGCTAATCAGCCCTTCCCCACGCCCAGGGAATGCCCCAAAGCCCCCCTAAAATTCCATGAAAACCCCACAAAAATTACAAGAAAACCCTCAAAAACCCCAGAGAATCTCCAAAAATCCCAGTGGAACTCAACAAAATTTAAAAGAAGTCCCAAAAATGTCAACAAATCCCCCCCCTCCAAAAAACCCCCATAATCCCAATACAATCACCCACAATCCAAAACCCCCCAAAAAAACTCAATCCCCCAAAATTATGTAACCATCTCAAAACCCAATAATTCTCTCCAAAAACCCTAACAAAATTCCCCCCAAACTCCCAAAAAAAAAACCCAAGCCCATAAAAGCTCCTCCCGAAATCCCCAAACACCCCTCTCAAAATCCCCCAAAAATGCCCCAAATCCCCACAAATTCCCCCAGACTCAATGGGGCCGGCCTGGATCAGGGGGCACCGGCTGGTGGAACAGGAGCCACTTCAGGGGGCCCTCGGAGCTTTTTGGGGAGGGGGCACCATGGGAGACCACCAAAAACCGGGGGGGGGGGGGGGGGGGGGGAAATCCCTGCTGTGCCCCCTCCTCCCCCGAAACCTCCAGACCCCGGTTCAGGGTGGACCTGGGACCCCCCGGGACCCCCAAATCTCCCCCGGGACCCCTCCAGGAACCCCAAACCCCCCAGAGCTCCCCCAGCGTTGGCCCAGAAAAACCCTGGACCCCAAAAACCTCCCCAGGACCCTCAGACCCCCCGATTTCCCCCAAAATTCACCCCAGACCCACCTAAGACCCCCCCAAATCCGTCAGACTGCCCCAAATCCCCCTCAGGCCCCTCTATCTCCCCCAAACCCCATGAAATCCCCTCAGACGCCCACACATTTTTCCAGAGCCACCTCAAAACCCCCCAGATCCACTCGCAACCCCACAGTTCCTCTCACAATCCCCCAAAAGCCCCTCAGATCCTCCCAATTCCCCTCAGATCCTCCTAAACCCACCTGAGAACGCTCCAGACCTCTCAAGCTCCCCCCAAAGCTCCCGAAAGCCCCCTCATTCTGTCCAAACCCACCGCACATCCCCGTGTTTCCCGTCGATACCCCCCAAAAATCCCCAATTTCCCCTCAGACCCGCCCCAAACCCCCCCAGTTTCCCCCGGACCCACCTCAGCTCCGCTCGCCCCTCACAATCTCCCGCCTCTGCCGCGTGCGCGGGCTCCCAACAATGGCGGCGCGCCCCGCCCGGAACCAACCAATCACCGCGCTGGACGTCCTGGAAGCAACCAATCACGACGCCGCTCCCCTCAGCAGTGCCCGCCCCCCCGCCACCTCAGCCAATCAGAGGCGACCCAGAAGCGGCGCCCCCTTCCCCGCCGCCGCCGGGACCCGCCGGGCTCGGGACAGGAGCGGGAGGGGCCCGAGAGGGGATCGGGGGTTGCGGGGAAGGGTCCGGGGGGGTCTGGGGGGGCTTTGGGGAGGGGTCCGGGGGTTTGGGGGGGTCTGGGGGCTCTGGGGAGGCATCCTGGGCATTGTGGGGGCACATGGGGGGTGCATATAATATGTATCTATAACAGTGGCTGCAGGGCAGGGGGAGTCGAGCTCAGGGTCCCAGGCAGACGGGGATGGTCCCTCTTTTATGGAGGTGGGTGTTAATAAGATCCCAGTGCAGTCTCACAGCAGAGGCTCACCCTGATTTGCAGAAAAAGCCCTGCAATTTGTAGAAGCTCTAAAGCCAGTATGATTGATTTCAGTGCTGCCCTAAGGACACGGGCACCCCCGAAAATTCCCAAATCTGTTTTACCTCTTAACTTGTTGCATATGCATAAAAGACATGTGCATATGAGAGGAATGTGGGATTTGTCTTTACAAACCAGCTGTGGGTCTGCTGCTAGATAAAACCAGCACTGAGAGATAAAAGAAACAATGGGAAGGATTCCAATCACTGATCAATGGAAAAAGATATGTGTTTTTACAAATAAACTTTAGGGTTGCTGATAAATGAAATTGTACGTTGCAAGATGAAAGAA